GGGGTATTTTAATAAAAGACCCAGTCAAACTATCCAAAAAAGATTTAGGCCTAACTTACTCTAGAAATGTTTTTGAGGCCCTTTTTAGGTTAAAATGTCTATATTATCCTTTTAAATAATGTTGAAATGCCTTAGATGTCCTTACCATATAATGACTATAATACCCATTTTTCAAATAAAATTATAACGGTTAGTTTCGTTTGTTCTTCAAAAAATTTCAAATTTCTTCTTCTTCTTCTCTTCTTCTCCTTCTTCTTCCTTAATTTATCTATAATCTTCTATTTCTTTGTTCTTCTACCTGAAGTATATAAAGAAGCTTATCAAAGAAGAAACCCTTATATTTCTACATTTTATATTGGTAAGATATTATTTTCATTTTTCATTATTCTGTAATCTGGTGTTTTTTATTTATTCATATATTCTTGTTGTTTATTCAAGTGTTTGAATGTATTTATCGATCTCAAATAGTTTTGAAAAGCAGAATTTCGTATAATTTTTAGCCACAGATTCACGTTTTAAACGACTATAGTCGTTTCAGTCTTTTAAAACGATCATATAAACGACTGCTGTTAATTTATATTGCTGTGATTGATTATTTGCTAACATTCTAAAATTTTACTATTCTAATTACAGATATGGACTCAACAACATGGATTTCTATATTTTATTTTGGTGATTTTGTTAATGATGATCAAGGAAAATGGACATGGAAACGAAGTGGGAATGATGAAATGGTAGAAGGAGTTAGAACGTTAGAACGTGTTGTAACCTTCGNCAATATCTTCAAATACTTCATATCATGACTTGTATTGTGAGGTGTTAAATCTTTGCAAAGTTGATTTATCTTCGCATGAAATTGAGATGAAGTTTCTTCTCCCTGGAAATGGACAGTTTACAGTTCCAATTAAAATTATTTCAGACAGGCAAGTACAGTGGTTGCTATCTCTCAACCAAAAAAATCATTGTCTCATTTGTGTAACTCTTGTGAACAAACGTTTAGTTGAGCATCCAGGAGAAGAAGAACAAGATAATGATTCATTTCGTGAAGTGGAAGACGGTGAAGTTTATTGTGAAATGCAAAATGAAAGTGACAATCTTCATGGTGAAATGCAAGCAGCCGATGACAATGAAGTGGTTCGGACTGAGAATATTGATTGGGATGAGTTGGAGATAGCCCAAGACAATAATGTAGATATTATCACTGAAAGTGGTAACACTATTGTTTTCTCTACGGGTGGATCTGAGATACTTCAAAATAACAGAGAAGAAGATCATTTTACAAATGAGCACCTTGTAGCTTCAACTCTTACATCACATGTGATTCCCGAAGATGCAGATTTAGAAGATCGACAAATTTTCAACACAAAAAAAGATCTTATGATGGAAGTGCACATGCTTGCAATGAAGTATAACTTTGAATTTAAAGTGAAGAAATCGAATAAAGAAGTCTATACAATTGTTTGCATGGATGAAAATTGCAAATGGCGTTTGCGAGCAACTAAATTCAAAAATTGTGATTACTTTCAAGTTCGCAAGTATGCACGCGAACATACTTGCTCTATGAATATTCGTCGAAATGATCATAAACAGGCAAGATCATGGGTTGTTGGAAGACATATAATGCCTAAGTTTCAAAATCCTAACATGGTATATAGACCTGCAGACATTATTAATGACATACGTCTGGAATTCGGGGTAGACATGAGTTATCAGAGGGCGCGAAAGTCACGAGAATGTGCTTTGGAAGCTTTAAGAGGTTCCCCTGAGGATAGTTATGCTAAATTGGGTTTATATTCTCATAACTTGGCTTGAACTAATCCAGGAACAGTATTGTCTTTAGAGATTGACGGTGAGAATCGCTTCAAATACTTTTTTATGGCCCTCGGACCTTGCATTCGCGGATTTCACTCTTCAATGCGGAAGGGAGTTGTCGTTGATGGAACATTTTTGACTGAGAAATATAAAGGTACGCTGATTGTTGCTACTTGTCAAGATGCAAATATTCAGATTTATCCTCTTGCTTGTGGTATAGTTGATTCTGAGAATGATGCATCATGGATATGCATTGAATAGCTCCAAATTATCAACTATATCTAAAGTGAGAAGATCTATAGATGTATTTTTTTCTTTGGACCTCAACACAGTCTCATATATAAGCACTAAACCCAGTTTAAATTTATCATCCATGTCTTGTATTTCCTTTTCAAATGCCTCATTTAATTCTTTAGGCGTAACCTTGTTAGATGTTGGAAAATATTTATTTCTCAATCTACCATTTTCATTTATCTGGCTCTCATACTCCTCTTCACTCGCAGGACTTAATCCAGTGACGAGTATAAACTCGTATAGGGAAAAACGAACAGCCTTTTCCAAGCCTAAACAAAACCACAATTCATCCTCATTGACAGAGAAAACCCTTCGTAATAATAGGTTGTGAATTAATTGAGCAGATATTTTCATTTTGGTGATTTCATACAGTTTACCAAAGCA